CCCCAAAACCCCAAAACCCCAAAACCCCAAAACCCCAAAACCCCAGATTATTTAGCTAAAATTGAATCGAAACAAGAAGTAGAGCCTTCTTAAGGCGAAATTTCAAGTTTCGGTACCTATCAAACTGATTAGCTAAAAATACCAAATAAAAGGAAATTAGCAGATCTATCGCCAATTTATAACCTGCAGTTCTACCATAATTTTGAAAGTCATTAAAATAAAGCTAAAAATGGCTAATTTCAGTCAAATCTATGAAAAAGTTTATGTTTTATCAATCTCCAGCCAGACATAAATATTGGCAGAATCTTGAGTTCTGGGCGATCAGTAAATTTAATTATCACCAATATCTTCTCTCAGAGTTAAAATTTTAAAAACCAGCTTTAATAAGACTAAATTTGCTCAGGCCATTATTTTTCATATGATTTAAGCAATTTTATTACTAAAAGACTGGACAGTAGCAAGTGTACTTTGAAATATTCAGATGAAATAAAGGTCTAGCCCACTCGCAAATATCAAGCGAACATACTTAATAGATGAGGGCCAGAGGTATCTTTACTCTAAAGATACTTAGCCATAATTGTTTTACAGATTTCTTCTCTGATGAGGAGCTTGCACAAATGACATGTTTAAAGAGTCTCAGTGGTTTTACATCTTATAAAAATCTTTTTACAAAATCTGATTAATAATCTTGGGTCATCGACCTTACATACTTAGCCTTGATGCTTCTGCCTTTGTCCTGGACTTGGCTGTTCTTGCTCATAAATTCTTTTAGTTCTGTGTATGGTTTTGATTGGACATGAAGATCTTTGTTGCGGATATTCAGCCTCTTTGCCTTGAGCTCCTCGTCAGAGTTCTTGACACATTTAAGTTTGAGCTTTGATTTAGCCTTTATGCTCTTCTTAATTTTCTTTTTACTCTTACTTCATGTGAGAGAAATTCTACGGGAACTGATCTTTCGAGATACTGGCTGGGTTCCAATCGTCGGAACATTTCGATTTGAATCATACAAAGTTTGAGCAGTAGTATTAACACTATGTATAATCATTGGAGAGGTTCCTTGATATTTCTGATCTGTTAACTCATTCATTACGACTCTCTTAGCCTTCCCTTTGATTGGAGTTACGAAGGCATTCTTAGAAAAATCAATAGTATTAATATCCCTTCGTTTGAGAGGGAGTCCATCATTGTTTGTGGTGAATTTGAGAATAGTCATCTTTGAAGGACCCTCATCAAAAGTATTCATCTCTGTATTCTCAAAGATGGAGGTCTTAGTGAAGGACGACTTTCTCACAGACACTAGATTTGTGTTTCAAGGCTTCTTTGGAGCTACTTCTTTAGGGATGTTCTTCATCGGATCTTTACTCTTCTGTTCTAGTTGACAATAAGAAACTTTTCGTGTAGCAATAGCTCAATCTTTTATCGAAAGTGTGGTGAACTTCTTATTCTGAAGATTCTTGCAATAGGCATTAACCTTGCTGTATTCTGAATTAGTACTAGTGGATCTTTTCAGAAGTTTCTTTCTACGAGATTTCTTGAGATTAGAGCCAAACAGGGTGTCTTCAAGGATTTCTTCAAGATTCTCTGTCTTCTTTTTATTGAGATTACATCTTTGAATACGATTGTTTCTTAATTTTTGCTTTTTGTTATGGGAAATCAGAAATTCCATCTTCTTCTTAATCAAAGTTTGGCATTTCTGCTTAAAGAAATCATCCCTTAACTTATTTCTGCGCTTGTTCAGCTTCAAACTGAGTAATTCAAGAAGAGAGCCCTGCTTTTGGGTTGAACGCAGTCGTCCGAAGATTATTTGCATGATTCATGTCAGCAGCTATGTTCAATGTAATAAAATTTCGTATTAATGTTAAGAAAATTTCATATTCATCAAAGATTCCAAAATCCCAAATCCTGCTACATCTAAAAATCCACGACTAAAACTGCTCTAATTCAGAAGAGACTGTCTAAATGAGTTGCAAACCTAGCTAAAAAGTGAAAAATTTGAAAGAAATCATGAAATTTGCCTGAATTCATTAGGAAATCCTGAAGAAATTATTCAAGGCCAACTAGTGAAGCAATTTACCATTTCTTGCATGCCTGCATGCACTGAATGCTCTCTTCCTCAACACAGTAGGCTGAGAGGAGATGTCAGTCGGATTGAACATATTTAAAAATTAACTAAAATAAATTTTAACTTCTACATTTCTATCTTCATAACCCGAGAGGGGTTTTGGGGTTTTGGGGTTTTGGGGTTTTGGGGTTTTGGGG